ATATATATATATATTACATTGAAAGCTGGGCACACACTTGCTCAAATAGCAGCCCTCCACCTCAAACGAATACTTGTGAACTTGGATTCTATGCATAGTGGATCGGTAAACTGAGCACTGGGTACAAGCTGCAAACAACTCCATGCATAAATGTCCTTGAATAATTCGTCAAATATGGGCCAAATGGGATTGCTTTCAAAACAGCGATATTGTCGTTCACTGATGACCTCAGCGTAGTCCAAATTAGGAAAGCGGGATAAAAATGGGTTCGTAATTGACGATGTAGACTAACCGACGTATGCGTGAGAAAGCGTAAATGCGAATGTATGAGGGAAAAATAGTGGCTGAATTTGAAAAGCCCGCCAGTGTGTTTAAATTGCCTGCACAAGTGGCACTCACATATTGGAGAGAGGATGGAGGGTAAAGGATGTATTCGGTTAATGGTTTCTTTTGCTCGAATATTTAATGTTGAAATTTTATGATCTTAATGGTTCATTTAAAGACGACCTTTGGGGTATGCCTATCGCAAAAAGCGACCTTCACGATTGCATCTGCATTTATGTAGTTTTATGATGTATTTTTTCACCTATGGTGTTCTGTATAACCATCCACGCCTCCACAAAGACTATCAGGTTGACCACTAGTATGCAATAAGAAGCTCCAATGCGATCGACAATGCACTCTCCATTTGTATAAACGCAAATGTTTCTCTAAATCTGCTAATATAATTCTGGAACAAAAAACATGCACTTGATCGGGACCTGTTTTTTCATACTTAACATCTGAACACTCGGTAAGTAAACCATGTTTTATCTCACACTTACGACCTACAACATACTTAATTTACACTTCTAATAACTGAGTAACTTTTCTTGTATAAGCACTTAGTCAAGTCAAGGAACTGACCATTACAGGGACTCCTGGGACAAAAATCGAATGTGACCTGTTGTTGGATGTCATTTTAGCGGTAAGACTATTATTAGTACGCAACAACTAACTCAAGATTTCAAAGGTAAAATTCTAATTTAATCGAAACTCTCTGTCATTGAATTGAAGTAGACTTTGTAGTCTATAGTATTGCAACAAATATCACTTCAAAATGTGTACTCAGTTTACATTTTCTTTAGACGGATGAAATGGGAAATTGCGATCCAAACAAAAAAGTGTGTCTTGGGTAACGCGAAATAAAATTATGTGAACGTTTGTTACCGTTCCTTTAGGGCAGAAGACGACCTTTACCATCCCAAAGGACGCAAGCATCCAAAATGGTACAATTCAAATCGTTGCGTATGGTGGCAATAGCCAGTATGGTGTTATCGCAATTAACGGTAAGCGAATTTTAATCCTCCTACAATCATATTGAATGTTCATATACCATCGCTTTACTTTTTAAATTTAAAGACTATGAACCAGGTCCTGACGATATCCAAATCGGTCGGCTTGAAGTTATGAACGATAAGGTTATAGGTGATACACAGGTTGTGACACCGTATCTCCTCAAAGTGAGTACCTACACATGTTCAAACCTTTAGAGATGCTCATTGGTTTCGTCACACATTCACCTGCTTCTATGTTATCCTTAGTATCTTTTCCCGAACGTGACAATCGTTATCAATAAACGTAAGCAAAACAACTGATACTGATTTTTATAACGTATTGAAAACCTTAATTTCTTCTAGCTCCTTAATATCTGTCCAACTAATTGCGTGCATTTTAGACCAAACAAATATTTCTGTAAACGGGACAATTTCGAATGAGAAAGAAAGCATCCAATTCAAAAGAAGTGGTGGACACAATTTCACTTTTAACTTCTTCTCTGAAACAACGTCAACAACAACATCCTCTGTGGCCATTAAACAATCATGTTTCGCTCCCATCGTCTTATTGTTGGCAACGTTTCTGCTGTATTAGAAACAACAACGGCTGCAGCAATCACAACATCCAAGGCAACAATTCCATCATTATAAATACCATAACCGTCAATCAGCAGAGGCCCTTCTGCGGTTATACACCAATTATTCGTTATTCAAAGTTGCGAAAATTCCCATCAGAGAATTCAGAAGAGTATTTGGCGAGCATTTGGAAATATTTCCAGTGACTGTTGCTCAGCAAGTCACTTATTCTAACACAGTGCGTTGAACGAAATGTCATGGTCATTTAAAAAAGACTCTAACTCAATGAATTATACGCAGAACTCTCTGTGCCGTAGGAAAACTTCATATTATAGACCTTTTCAAGTAGCGAAACTTCATATTTTGTTTCATATGAGCGGCTACATATAGGGCAATCGGCATAAAACAAGTTCCAATGAACGCATTTGCCCAGTGTGATTCGAACTAGCACGTAATGGTATGGTAATTATTTCGTACAGATTCGATTGTACTTTAGTTGGAGTATGTGATACTAAGCAACTGATAACGGCTGGCTATCCGGTTGTTACTGGAATAAATATTCTGAAGTACGGTCATCGTCTAAGACGACAAATACTACGTTATTTATGCGTTCCCACCGACTGCTGCACATTAAACCCTACGTCTGGTGCCTTCATGCAGAATAAGGTCAACTTCCGTTGCCCATAATGAAAGATCATAAAAAATCCGCTGGCCAATTTTCCTATCTTAGTCTCGTCATCTTCTTCTTATTTTGGATAGTGTGTATCGTTTATATAGCCCTTGTACGCTTGGTTACATCCAACTTTATACGTTGGCTATTTCAACGGTCACATGTGTACGCTATCGTGAGTTTAAGAATGGCTGCGAGGAGTTTACACACTACACCACGGGTGTGTATATTTTAATCTTGCTTGTAAAGCAGAGAATGAAGGTGGGAATTAAAACTCTCAAGTTATTACGCAGAAAACAGGACAGCGTGCTTATTATATTGTCTCGTCTAGCAAAATACCATGTGACATTTTGTACTTTATGCCACTTACTTCCTCCCATGCTGGGATACGTGTCTCCAGCTAATTATAATCATAGGCATTTTAAAAAGTCCCATACCATTGCAACTTCATCACATGACACAAAGAATCAGCATATACTGTAGTAACCAATGTATTACCGGCAAACGTTAGGGAGTGCTGAATACGCGTATTTATGGCTTATTGGCCGTCATCGGCAACACCTACCCAACTCCAGTATAGCCACAG